TAAGTGGAAGGAGGTGAGGGAGGAATGGGGTACGAGCCCCCGATGGGGAGGACTGGGCTGGCTCTGCGGGCTTCTGCGGGTGGAAGCTCTCCTGCAGCCCCCCAATTGCTCCCTCTCCCCAGATCACAGCCTGCGGCAAGTGCAGCCAGGCTGATGGCCGAGTGCTGTGATGTGCCCAGTGTGGGTACTCCGGGCAATCCAAGCCAGCACCCAGCCAGCAAGCGGGGCACCCCTGAGAACTGTCTGTCCGGGGTGGGGGTCGGGACCCTTTAAGCGCAGCCCTCAGCTAGCCTGAGACAGCATCTCCACGCTCTTAAGTCCTCCTCTGATGCCCTGCCAGCACTGCTTCCGGCCATCCTTAAGCCCTGTTCAGGGTCCACTCGATGTGGACTTGCTAGTTCGAATTAGCAAAACGCTAATTCGAACTAGTTTTTTAGTCTGGATGCGTTAGTTCGAATTAGCGCTGTAGTGTAGACATACCCTAAGGGGCCACAGGACTACTTATTTTTAAAGTTACAGACTCACATGGCTCTCCCTCTGAGATTTTTTGTCTTGTTTGTTTTGTGAGATTAGAAACTAAGGTCTTGTCTACTCTATTCCCCTGCCTCCACTTGGAGAACCAGCAGGATATGACATGAAATCTCAGCAGTGGAAGTGGGGAAGGAATCAGTGCGTTTCCACCCATTTTGATGGAGCAGCAACAAGAGGTCTGATCCTTTTTGTGATTTGCATTTCGCTTACCATCCATTTAACCTGAACACCTGACAAACAGTGGGGGAAAAAGTCCTCATGAGTAGAGATCCAACAACATCTCTCTGATAGCGGTGTGAAAATTCTTGCTCCTGATCTCTTGGTTCTTGACTGAGAAATGCAACAAAACCAGGAAAGACAGGCATGGGGAGTGAGCTATCTCTAGCTTAAGGAAACAAGCAAAAAAAAAATGGTTTTGTTTATAAGGCCACAAAACCCTTTTGTGTTTTTCCTTCGCAGGTCAGCATTAAGGATGATGGTAGTGATTAGAATTCCAGTGGGCTTGTCTGCTGGAACAGGGGACTCAATTTGAGATCTCATCTGGTCCTGTGTCCATGCTCTGTGTCATGGTAGCAGTGCAGAGAGGCCCCAGTACAGACCAGAGCTGTATTGTGCTGTGCCTACAAGCAGTGAGAGGTAGTCCCTGCCCATACGAGCAACACCCTACTGGGACAGAAAAGGTGCACTATCTTCCTCATGTTGCACAGGGGGCCTTGAGGCACAGAAAAGCAAAATACCGCGCTCAAGATCCCATGGGGAATCTGTGGCAGAGCTGGGCATTAAATCCACTTTTTCTAGGTGCCCATCCCCCGCCTTAACCACAAGACGCTTCCCCTCAGGATTACAATGCTCTCCCTGTTCCTTGTGCCTCCTCAGAGCCTGGATGATGTCATCAAAGACCTGATGGCAGCCATCCACCGGGAGCTGGCGGAGAAGCAGTCCCTCTCCTTCAGCATGTCCTTCCCACCCAACAAGGTGGAGCTCACCACCACCAAAGCCGACGGCACCGAGTCCTTCATCTTCGAGTTCCCCAACCCCGACGCGCGGCACAGCTTTGAGCACGCCTTCGAGGACACCAAGAAGAAACTGGGTAACTAGCTCCCCAAACGGGGGCCTGATGTGATCCCCGCTAAGCACCGTGGGGCAGGTTCCCACTGATGCTAGTGGGAGTTGACTCAGGGCTCCAGCTGGCATATTTTTCTTGAGAGCCAGGCCCTCCTTTGCTGGTGAGCTGGCTAGGCATGGCCTGGCTGGTTCACTTCGGGGCTGGGAGACTGCCAAGAAAAACCCGGCTGGTGCAGAGAGTTCCACTGATAATCTATCAGATGGGCACCCTTTCTTCTGGGTCTATGAAATCAACACCCCAGTGTTGGGGAGGTGCTACGGGTAATTGATCAGCCCTTGAAAGATCCCAAGATGTGTTTTGCCGAGACAGCAGGTGGTTCTCCTTTGTGCCTGAGAATCACAGAACCACAGGGCTAGGAGGGAGCGCAAGGGCATCTAAGCTAACCTCCTGCCAAGATGCAGGGTTTAGCCAAATCCAGTTTGATAAAGAACATGCAGCCCATCTCATCTGCAGCGTCAGCGGAACGCCATGTTCTCCACTTTCTGCGCTAAAACAGTGTCCAGGGCTGCTGCATTTCACTGGTGCTCTTTGTCTCTATGGTGTGCAAAACCTTCTGGGTTGGGGCATCTGCTGCTGGCTGCAGTTACTGCTATGGATGGCTATCGGCACAGATCTAGCCTTCCTTGTCTGTCTTTTCCCACTTCCAGCCTCCCACAAAAATTGCCTGGACCCGGAGTTCCTGAAGGCGATCCCTATCATGAAGACACGCAGTGGGATGCAAGTACGTTGGCCTTTTATAATCCTACCCGCAGAGCAGAGGTGTTAAAATGTGTTTGTGTTTGTAAACGTATAACCTCCACCCTGGGGAGGGCGGGTGCTGGCTGCACATGCAGAGAAGGGAGGGGACCATTCATCTTTCATGGGATCACTGTCCCAGGTCATCAGAGCCAGCAGCGCTTTTCACACAGGCCACCAAGCAGCCATCAGATCATAACAGCTTTTGGCTGCTCCTGGATTCGCACCAGGGAGTGAAAGGTTCCCTGCCCTACAGGGGGCACTGGGATGCCGCAGAGCCATGTGACTGGACGTCCCTGGAATGATAATACCAATCTGTCTGTGAAAGGCAAGTGCCCCCCATTCCATGGGAAGGAGAGTGGCTCTGGGGCTGCAGAACAGGCTGGTGCCCCCAAACGAGGGGGCAGATCTATGTTTCTCCCCCTCCCAAGATCACACAGAGGTGAGAGCAGGCCTGGCTACATTCCAGCCCCGCATATGCATGTGCCAGGGCGGGGGGCGGGAGGGGCTCAGAGACTGCTGGGATCTGGAGATTGGGCTGGAGCAGCTGCTGTGCTTCATGAAATCGGGCCAGCTGCTGGGGAAGAATTCTCCAGCCCAGCTAGCCCAGCCCCACCTTGCAGCCACAGCAGAGACGCCCAGCCTGGAAACGGGGCAGGAGCGCAAGTGTCAGCCACCCGGGGCGGAGAACAAGACATGGCCTCTGAGGGGGGAGAGCATAGGTGCACAGAGCACCAGCCCCAAGGAATTGCCGTTGGAATGGCAGGAACTACTGGGACGCCCCTTCCCAGCCTAGAACCAGCTGCTCCCCATTCCCCACCACTCAGTAGCTCCCTTCATTCCCCCTCCCCAATTTCCTGTCCCCTGAGTGGCTCCGGGAAAGAGCTCCGGGACGGTGTCGGGGAGAAGGCTGCTAGCCTCTGCCCTGCTGCACTGATTCATCTCCCAGCCAGGGGTGCTGCCCATGTCAGCTGTTCATCCTGAGCTGGGGGACCTTCTGTGTGAGTTCCTGGGGGTTGGCTGCCACCACCAGTGTGAGTCTCTGCCCTGGGAGATGGGACAGGCTGCAGGTTGCCCTGTGTCCCTGTTACACAGGGAATCCGGAGAAGGCTGCTAGCCTCTGCCCTGCTGCACTGATTCATCTCCCAGCCAGGGGTGCTGCCCATGTCAGCTGTTCATCCTGAGCTGGGGGACCTTCTGTGTGAGTTCCTGGGGGTTGGCTGCCACCACCAGTGTGAGTCTCTGCCCTGGGAGATGGGACAGGCTGCAGGTTGCCCTGTGTCCCTGTTACACAGGGAATCCAGTCGCTCTGCTGTGCCTAGCGGTGGCACATGGGGCCTTTTAGCAGCCTGTCTCGTGCTGGGCCATGGCCTTGGCCACCCCCCTAAGCCAGGCCAGTGCTTGCACAGCAGAGCTCCATGGGTCACAGCTGAGTTCCTGGAAGGGCTGCGGGGAGCCAGCCCTCTTCCCTCACCCACGGCTGACCCAAAGCTGCAGCATGCTGCGGGGATACCTTGATGCTGCTGGGATCCAGCTTGCCCCTCAGCTGATGTACATGGCCCTAGCTCCACTGAAGTCACAGGAGTGACATTAGTTGACACTTGCTGAGAATCTGCCCTGGATGAGTCAGTGAGTATTTCATCTCCTTGTTAGACACTTTTCCAAAAGAGCAGGGGTGTTACCCCGAGGCCCCGGCCAGATTCCAGTGGGTGATGTACTGGGCATCTCTATTTCTCATGCTAGGGTATTCTCCTTCACCATCTGCCCTCGTTCATTGGGTGGTGTTTTTGTGAGCTGTTAAGCAGTTGCCATGTTCCACCCCAGAGGTAGCGTCATGCCAGGGGTGACACCTAAGTATTGTTTGGGATGAAGAGGGCTATGGAAAAAGAAACCCTCTTTATTCAAACCAAGGGACAGCCTCCTCGAACAAAGGGTAGGAATAAATGGTCAGTTTTCAGAATGGAGAGAGGTAACTAGTGGTGTTCACCAGGGGTCTGTACTAGGACTCGTCCTATTCAGTATATTCATAAATGATATAGAAAAAGAAGTAAACAGTGAGGAGCCAAGTTTGTGGATGATACAAAAGCACTCCAAATAGTTAAGTCCTAAGCAGACTGAAGCGTTACAAAGGGATCTCACAAAACTGGGTTGACTGGGCAAGAAAATGGCAAATTAACCGCTCAAGAGATCTCGGAGTCATTGTGAATATTTCGCTGAAACCAGCCACTCAGTGTGCAGCGGCAGGCAAAAAAGCAAACAGAACATCGAGAATCTTCAAGGTTGGGATAGAGTATAAAACAGAGAGGCTGTGTCTACATTGGCATCCCTTTCCGGAAAAGGGATGCTAATGAGACACATCGCAATTGCAAATCCGCGGGGGATTTAAATATCCCCCGCGGCATTTGCATTTACATGGCTGGCGGCTTTTTTATGGCTGCCGCTTTTTTCCGGCTTGGGGATAAGCCGGAGAAAAGCGCCAGTCTAGACATGATTCTCCGGAAAATAAGCCCTTTTCCGGAGGATCTCTTATTCCTACTTGAAAGATTTATTTAAATCCCCCACGGATTTGCAATTGCGATGTGTCTCATTAGCATCCCTTTTCCGGAAAGGGATGCCAATGTAGACACAGCCAGAATGTCTTAGTGCCTGTGTATTAATCCACGGTGCACCCACATCTCAAACACTGCATGCAGAGGTGGTCACTCCATCTCAAAAAAGATATATTGGAAAAGGTACAGAAAAGGTCAACATAAATAATTAGAGGTATGGAACAGCTTCCATGTGACGAGACATTATTAAGACTGGGACTTTTCAACTTGGAAAAAGAGATGACTAAAGGGGCATATGATAGAAGTCTATAAAATCATGACTGGTGTGGAGAAAGTAAATAAGGAAAAGTTATTTTCTCCTTCTCATAATACAAGAACTAGGGGTCACCAAATGGCATTACTAGACATCAGGTTTAAAATAAACAAAAGGAAGTATTCTCACAGTGCATGGTCAATCTGTGGAACTCCTTGCCAGAGGATGTTGCAAAGGCCAAGACTATAACAGGGTTCAAAAAAGAACTAGATAAATTCATGGAAGATGGGACCATCAATGGCTGTTCACCAGGATGGGCGGGAATGGTGCCCCTAGCCTCTGTCAGAAGCTGGGAACGAGTGACAGAGGGTGGATCACTTGATGTGTCCCTGTTCTCTTTATTCCTTCTGGGGACCTGGCATTGGCTGCTGTGAGAAGACAGCTAAACAGACCATTGGTCTGACTCAGTCTGGCTTTTCTTACGTTCTGCGCCCTCTTCCCCCCGCCCCCAAGCTAGCAGCTTTGAGACATTCATCATGAAGCCCTTTCAGTGCAATTAAAAAATGACCTGACACTTCCTTGTCTTTTGCCCCCTTCCAGTTCTCTTGTGCTTCTCCCAGTCACAGCAGCCCCGAGAACGCCTACGAGGTGTGGGTGTGTAACAGCGATGGCTACGTGGGGCAGGTCTGCCTTCTCAGCATCAAGAAGGAGCCCTCGGTGGAGGCCTGCATCGCCGTGTGCTCGGCCAGGATCCTCTGCATCGCTGCTGTGCCAGGCCTCAAGAGGAGCTACAGGTACCAGATGCCAGCGCAGTGGTTCCCAGCCTGCAGCCCAGTTAGCACACGGCTAGAATTTTCCGCGCCGGTCTGGCAGGGGGTGGGACTGGCTGAGTTGGGTCAGTCCTGATGGAGCTCTTCTACCAGCAGCGGGGCCTGTAGGTGTGGTGGGGAGAAGAGTGTGAGTGAGCGGGACACCAGGCAGTGCGGGGGGGTTGTGGGGAGTTCTGGGCAGCATATACCTGGGACTGGGGTGGGGGCTGCAGCATCATCAGGTTTTACTTGGGGTTCCACTCCTGGGAGTGGCACTGCAGCACCCTGGCTGCCCGCCCCAGTGCCGCAGGGTCCCAGCTCACTGCCCCATGCCACAGGATCCTGGTTCCTAGCCCCACACTGTGCAAGGGTTTCTAGGCAGGTGGCACAAGGCAAAAGGATCCCGAGGGGGGGATGCTGGCCATAAGGGTCTGTGGGGAGGTTTAGCCTGTGAGGTATACTAAGCATAGGGGTTTGTGGAGGGGTTAGCCTGGGGGTGCTTGGCATAGAGGTCTGTGTGAGGGTCTAGCTGGGTGGAGGGGTGCTGGGCATAGGGGTCTGTGGGCGAGTCTCTAGGCAGGTCTGCCCCTGAGGGGAAGGGGCAGGCTGGCAGTGCAGGGCTGGACAGGCCAGTGTGTGTTTGGCACAGTGGTTCTCAACCTGAGGCCTGCAGTGGTGGAGAAGCGGAGAACCACTGTCCCAGTGCATCTGCAGCTGGAAGCAAACAGGGACCAAGCAGGTGGGGGCTGATGTGGGGTGGAGCGAGTTGAGCGCTGGGTATCCCCAGGGGCCGTCTGGAGGGGAAGGGGCCCCGGTTTGCCATACGACACCATTGCAGCATGAGGCATCAGAAACAAACAGGAGCTCCCTAGGAGAGCTGTGAGGAGAGGCAGGCTGGCCCAGTGGTCAGGGCTAGCCTGGGACTCGGGAGAGCAGCATTCCTCTCTCTCCTCTGCCAGACTTCTTGTTATAATGGGAGGTAAAACCTGGGACTTAGTCTCTGTACCCTGGTTCCCCAGCTGTCCAGTGGGGCCCTAGCACTGCTTTACCTCACAGGGGTGCTGGGAGGATAAATGCATGAGAGACAGTGAGGCACTGTCCCTGGGTCCCCCACCCAGGCTCCCTTCCACACACTGACCTCTCCACTGCAGCTTTACAGCCCTGCAGCCGCGCCCCATGAGCCCAGGTCAGCTGCCATGAATTGGCTGCGGGTGTTGATTGCAGTGCAGGCATGCCTAAGTTCTGTGCCAGCCACTGGAAGTATTTGCCCTTAAATCTGCAGGACCGTGCTGTACAGATGTGCTAATGTTGGTCTTTTTTGGAGATCCAGAATATTTGTGAGCCCTGGCTGTCTCCGGCCCAAGACAATGAGACATCTGGCTTTCCAGGCAGAAGGGGAGAGGAAGCTAGCAGATAACAGTGCTTATTAAAGCGCCAGTGTAGGTTTTCTGCAATATGCGGCATCTAGTAATAGTGTTTGAGATTTAATCCTCACAGCAAGCTCTCGTAGGCAGGGGAGACATCTTATCCCCATTTTAAACATGGGGAAACTGAGGCACAGCGGCTTTCCCAATGCACAGGATGAGTCAGTAGCAGAGCTAAGACTAGAATCCAGGCCTGCGTCTGATCCACTGGCCTCTCACATACATATCTCACTGGTGGCTTAGCCACATTGTGAGCAATGCAGTCATGCCAGGCTTCCTCCCTTCCTGTCGCCGTGCCCCATCCAGTACAGGGTAGGATTTGCCTGTGTGAATGTGCTCCTGGCTTTACATCAGCCTGTCACTCTAATAACAGGGAGCGTCCCGAGTCCCTGGTGAGTCCGACCTCCGAGCCAGCTCCTTCAGCGCTGGACGACTCCGGGCCCCAGCAGTGCCTGCACATCTCCATCTCCGGCTCCTCCATAGAGCTCTCCGAGCCCATGGACAGCGCTAACAGGGAGCTGATGCCTTTTGACAGCGATGACACAGACGACGAGTCCTCTCCAAGCCCGTCAGGCACCCTCCAGAGCCAGGCCAGCCACTCCACCATCTCCTCCAGCTTTGGAAGTGAGTCACCAAATCGTAGGCCGCTGATGACTGAGCCCTGCTATTATCAGGGAGCTGGTTGTGACCCTAATGCTTTCCATTATAAAGGATCCTTGTGACTTTTCCATAGAGAAGCTCTCCCACTGTCAGTCATTGCATCAGGCGTTTGATAGTCAGCAAGACAGTTAATTTTTTTTCCCTTTAAAAACAAAATCTAGGAAACGACACACAAAAATGATATTAAAAGTCATTGCTAAGGTTGCAAAATCAAGCACTTCAGAGATGTTAGAATTGTTCGGTGTGTGTGTGTGTGTGTGAGAGAGAGAGAGAGAGAGAGATGATGCAGTCTTGAATCAGATACTGTTTTTTCACAGGATCCCAGCCTCATTGAGTGCACAGGGTGAAATCCTGCTAACTAAATGCTTGACTTTGCAACCTAACCTACGTTCTTTGAACATTCTATTAATATGTCATAAATATCGGTGTCTGCAGTGCGGCCACGTTAGTCCCAAAATGTGAGAGAGACAAGTCAGGAGAGGTCAGATATTTTATTGACCCAACTTCTGAGGGTGGAGGCTTCTGAGCTATTCAGAACCAGAGAGCATGCTCCAGACCTGCGCAAAAGAGCTCTGTGGATCTCGAAAGTTTGTCCCTCCCAATCACAGAATTTGGTCCAATAAAGGGTATTATCTCACCTACTTTCCGGTAAGCTGCATGACCACGCATCAGGCAGTCAAGGGCTGTGTGTGCAGCCAGGGTGACCGGGACTGGAGATAGATATGCAGTGCTGCAGCCTTAAGAGACACCTCTCCTCTGGCGCCAGCCTCAGAGCTGTTGCAAACAAGGAGAGGCGTGTCGCCCCAGACCCCAGCTCCAGAGCAATCTGCATGCCTCATGCCTAGCCCCACACATCCCCACGGCCGAACACTGTGCCCTAGCCCTGAGCCCCTTCTCACATTCCCAACCCTCCCCCGCCACTTGTCACCTCCATGTTGGTGCACATAACATTCATTCCGCATCTGGGTGTAAAAAATTAGACCATTATCTCTCATACCTATATTTGAAACCTTTTACCTGTATATTGAATACATTGCTAATCTGGGAGTCCTGACTGCAGAAGGGTCAGAATCTGGATCCTGATTTCCCGTATAAATCCAGCGTAACTCCACTAAGTAAATGGATTTACTGTAAATTTGGGTCAGTGCATCTGAGAACAGAATCTGCCCTCCCTCGTCCCTTCCCCGCCCCCCACAGTGGGTTTGGGGTTGATCCAAGAGGATGAAAAGTGCCATGGAAATGTCAGATTTATCATTTTTAATCAGTCCCAACATCTGTCTGTATGTAACTTGCCTAGGGCTCCTATCAGAGAGCATCTATCCCCAGTGCAATACAGCTGCAGTATGAAACATCCTAGGTCAAACCCTTTCCTCATCTGCACCAGCATAGTCCCCCCAGGACCTCCATCTGGTGCCTAGACACCATGGTGATGGGTGCAAGAGACATTTTTTAAAATAGACAAGGTTAAACTGGTGTTAGCTGGAAATCTGCGAGTTACTCCGGAGTCACGCTGCTCAGAATCTGATCCCCAAACGTCCTGGATTGTGTATTTCTATCACCTCTCCATGTCCAGATGAAGAGCTCCCCAGCTCCAAAGATGTGGCTGCTGAGACGACCAGCTCGGAGGAGGAGCAAGAACCAGGCTTCCTTCCCATCTCCAACACCTTCAGCCAGAACAGGAACAGCGAGAGCCCCGTGGATGGGCGGGCGATGAGGCGGTCGAGCCGAGGGTCCTTCACCAGGGGAAGCTTGGAGGACCTGCTGAGCATCGACCCCGAGGCCTATCAGAGCTCAATGTGGCTGGGCACAGAGGATGGCTGGTGAGCCATCTGGGCATAGACATCAATGGGATGTGGGGAGGGCGATTTGGGGGGACATCGCCTGATCCTGCCCCCAAGCATTGCTGAGCTAATTCCCTCCGGTGGCATCTTTAATGGAGGGCTGCACTGGAGTGAAGCTGCCGACATGGGCGTTATTGGCCGGGGGGTGCATAGCATGCTGGGAAGGGGGGATGATGAAGAGGAGTCAGGTACTGTCTGGAGTAATCCTGAGAGCTGTGGGAGACGGAGAACAGAATGTCTTCTCAGTGCCGGTGGAGATCCTGGGCGCACACCAGCCTGGTGTAAGCAGGTGCAGCTGCACTGTTTGAATTGGCATTGTGCCCGTTTGCACCAGAAGAGTCTCATCAAATCCTGGGGAGACATATTCGCTGGCTAGCGGATGACCCAGGCCTCTTAAATCCAGCACCCTCCCTGGGAATTATGGGGCCCTACACAGCACTGTTAAATTGGTGCCTTTATGCCCGATGGCAGCCGGAGGATGGGGGGCAGTTTTTTTAGAGATGAGATTTTATAATTTTATAATCTCAGCAACAGACCAATATAAGATATTTAGAGCAGATTTTACACTAAGGACCTGTCAGCTTCAGGAACTGACAGTGTATACCTGGGCTTGGCAACTGCCTGCTAAACGGTTCATTGCCACTTGAATGGCTCTTTCACAGGTTCTGCGAATAGCTCTGTCAGGCTTTGTCACTTTACGTTAACTAGATCCTCTCTGGAGGAAGCAGAACCCCAGAACAGAGCTAGGAAGAGGCAGATGGGTGGACATTAAGACTCAGAGGTGCCCCAAATGTTCAGGTGCCCTAAGCAACTTTGCATTTTGCATATGGGTAGGGGCTGCTTAAATCCACCTGGTTAAAGATCTGCCCACCACCCCGCACAGCACATGTGCATGCCCGTGTAAATGCACGCATACACACGCACACTCACTCACACATCCGGCTGAATCTGCACACACAGTGGCATGCAGGATCTGACAGCCCGTTCTGGCCTTAAACTCTATGACTGTGTATCCATCCCCATGTGCACAGCATCGGATGAGATATGCAAGCACACATTTATGTGTACACAGTCCATGCACACACAAGCCCGAAGAAGCAGAATGGAAATGTCTGGAAGCCCTAAGACCAAAGCGTGGCCCCGACCCGAGCTGGGACAGGGCTCATGTGGTTTGTTGGTGTCAGTGGCCCAGGGGGTTATGCTGATGTGACCCCAGAGCTGGGACAGGGCTCATGCGGTTTGTTGGTGTCAGTGGCCCAGGGGGTTATGCTGATGCTTTTCATGGGCCATTTGCAGGCCCTAAGGAAGGGAGTTTGCACAAGAGCTGATTTTCTGAAGGGTCTTCCCCAGCCAGCTGCAGGCTGCGTTGCTCAGTGTTCTGTCCCATAACTACAGACACTTCTGCCTGCACACGCCCCTCATAGGTACATAGACACCACGCTGCCCACCCATACCAAGTGAGCAAGGGATCAGTCTCTTCAGCGCCAAAAGCTCTGACCCCTGCCATGTGAACGAAGAGAACCACTATGTGGCTCCCTGACATGGAGTCCACTAGAGGGCAACCTAAGTACAGCGCAAACACACCACACCTGTGGAACCTGTGGAACTCATTGCCAGGGGATGTTGAGAAGGCCAAAACTATAAGTAGGTTCAAAAAAAAGCTAGATAAGTTCCCGGAGGATAGGTCTGTCTGTGGCTATAGCCAAGATGGGACACAACCCCATGGTCTGGGTTTCTCTAGCCTTTGACTATCGAATGGTGGGATTGGTCAGCAGGGGATGGATCACTCGATAATTGCCCTGTTCTGTTCATTCCCTCTGTAGCACCTGGCACTGGCTGCTGTTGGAAGCCAGGATACTGAGCTAGATAGGCCATTGGTTTGACCCAGTGTGGCCCTTTTCTGATAAAACCCCTTAAGCAAGCTTTACAAAGGGTGGAACTCGCACGCACACACACGCGCGCGCGTGCGCCAGGGTGTTTCTGTGCCACTAACCCCTTAAGCTTTACAAAGGGTGGAACTCGCACACACACACACGCGCGTGCGCCAGGGTGTTTCTGTGCCACCCAATGCTGCATGTTCCAGAAAGCGGTGAGCCAGTGCTAGGGAGCATTGTAAATACCACCATTCCCAGCTGCCCTGCAGGTGAGTTTTGCTGCCCTGTCACGGGTGCCAATGGAGAAGGGAAAGGAAACAGGCTGAGCAAAGCTACCAAGTGGGTTTGCCAGCTCTGAGATGTGGTGCAACTGGTGCTGCTTTGGGTTTCCCAATATCTGGGCCGGGTCAGAGGGTTGGTTCCATCAACCAAGCCAGAGGAACCTCAGCTGCCTCCCTTTGCCTCCTAGCATCCACGTGTACCAATCCTCGGACAACATCCGCAACCGGAAAAACAGCATGAAGATGCAGCACTCGGCCTCCGTCATGTGCATCTTGTAAGTGGTACACGAACCGTGGCATCGGCTCTGGCCAGGGCCCTGCCCAGGCCTCGGGGGGTATGTTCATCCCGCAGTGCAGGCTCCAGCCCAAGCCCAGGCATCTGTCACATAATTAAATAGCCCCTTAGCTCAAGTCAGCTGGCTCGGGCCAGCTACAGGTGTCTGATTGCAGTGCAGACGTATCTAGGTGTCCCCGTGATCTCAATAGCAACTAATATGGAGCTCGTGGGGAAGGCACTTGAGGGGATCTGCCTGTGGCACCTTTGGCATTCACAGCCTCGCTCTGGGCCTCAGTTTCCCCAGCTATCCTGCAAGGGGAACACTCCTTCCTTTGCCCTCTATTCAGACTGTAGATGCTTTGGGGCAGGGACCATTTCTTGTGCAGTTCCTCATGCCGCGGGGCCCTGAGCTCAGCCGATGGTGGGGAGAGTGGGAGATGGAGCTCTGTGGGATGCTCTGTTAGAGAAACTGGAGGTAGGTGTTGGGGATAGGTAAGAGCCGTTGATATGGGGCACTTTGGGGAGGGGAGGAGAGACTGAGGTGCAGCGAGCAAGCAGACTTTTGCAGGAGAGCCTAGTTCCTTCGGAGCAGCCCCCTTTGACAAGAGCTGCCACGGTGACGTCCTTCGCAGGCTAACTCTGCAGGCTTCTCTCTCCTGCAGGTATCTGGACAACCAGGTCTTCGTGTCCCTGGCAAACGGAGAACTCCTCGTCTACCAGAGAGAGGCAGGTGAGTCTGAGACGCCGCCACCCCACTGCACCGCCTGGTAGCTGGCTCAGCCACCAGTGCCCTCGGAGATGGGTTAGCTTTGACCGCACCACTGTGCAGATGGGGGTGGGGACAAGAGAGGTGACTTAGCTGAGGGCCCACAGTGAGCCAGAGTCCTGATTCCCCAGCCCCCTCTCCAACCTCTACCATCACATCCGCCGTGACTCTCAATGTGGGCCAATGTTTTCAGAAGCAGCCACTAATCTGGGGCACCCAAAGGTAATGGGCACTTCCTGGGCACCCAGAGTTAGCAGGCACTTGGGAACAGGTTGCCTTTCAGGCTGCCATTTTGAGGGCCCGATTCTCCTCTTTCTCTCCTGGTGTAAATCAGGAGTCACGTCACTGGAGCCCAGGCCGTCAGAGCGGGGTACGACGGGGAGAACCCAGCCTTGTACGATCACTTCGCAATGAAGGGTGCCCCAGCGCTGCTCATGGTGCATGGAACTGGAGAGTCCTGGCCAGACTCTGCCCTCTCAGATACCTGGTGCCCCCCTCGGCCGTAACCCACTAGAGAGCTGGGCTCGGAGCTAACACGGTTTGGACAGGCAGAGTCAGGTGCTGCTCCCAGTGACACTGGTGCGGATCAGGAGTGATGGTGCTGCCGGTAGTGGAGTCACTCCGGAATGACACTGCTGTGACTGGGGCAGGATTCAGCCCAGTGGTGACCATTGGAAATGCTGGAGGTCGGAGTTAGCCCCTTGGTTCTGGGTGTGAGGAAGGTGTCAAGGGCTGTGCAGTGTCAGAGCCCACAGTCTGGAATGGGGGGGGGCTCTGGGGCCTCCCCAAATGCACAGTGGAAAGAATCTGAGGCATGGTTACGTTGGAGGCCGGCTCCTCCCACCCCAGGCCTAGCTGGTAGACTCCACATCTCGGAGGAACATCTGGGGATGGTGGAAGGAGAAGGAAACATGCTTGAGGATGCAGGTTTAAGGCCACAGGTTCCCAGCCTGACTCCTGGTGCCAAAGGGGCTGTAGTGCAGAGTCGCTAGGAGGTTGAGATGCAGCCTAAGGGAAGTGGGCACTAAAAATGACTAGCCAGATGACTTGGCTGCAGAGCGGCCATGGCTGTTAGCCCGTGTAGCCGTAGTCTGAAGGGCCTGAGCTCTGCCACATGCATCCTGTGTGACCTGGGGCAAGTCACTTAACTTCCCTCTGCCTCCGTTCCCCCATGCAATGGGGTTAATAGCACAGACCTGCCTCACGGGGGGCTCCAAACCATCATCGGTGCTCTGAGCTCTTCTCTTGGAAGCCACAACCAAGATGTGCAGTGTTACTGTCACAACAGAAGTGTACAGTGTTAACCCCATCTCTGCCAGGTGGTGGTGGTTTGCATGGCCCAGAGCAACACTGCACACACACCAGCCCAGTGGGAGGCACTAAATTAAGCCTTGAAAGACCTGCGGTCTGCTTTGCCACTGATTTGCCTGTGGGGCCTTGGGCAAGTCACCTAACCTCTCTGCCTCAGTTCCCCACCTGTACGATGGGAATAACAGCACAGCTCTGCCTCCCCAGGGTGGTGTGAGGAGCTTAGATGCTGTGACAGTCGGCAGCTAGAGGCACTCACAGCATCACCGACATGTCATGCCTGTTTCAGAAGCCAGCCTGGTTTAACAGGAAATGTGTCCACCAGCCCACATGGCTGCTGTGCTGCCAGGCCCTATGGAAGCAGCTAAGGAGAAGACAACTGCTGATTTTCTCTTTCTCTGTGCAGGACACTTCTGGGACCCCCAGAACTCCAAGTCACTGTCCATTGGCTCCCCAGGCAGCCCTGTCACTAAGATGGTGTCGGTGGCCAGCAAGCTGTGGTGTGGGTGTCAGAACCGAGTCATCATCCTCAACACAGCCACGCTGCTGCAAGAGGTACCCACTCGCTCTTCCTGCCCCCAGGAGGGCTCAAACACGGGGACCCAGGCTGGCTCGCAGGCTGGTCATGAGCTCTGGAGCCAATCCAGGGCCTAATGGAGTCTGTGGAAAGATTCCTGTTGATTTCTATGAGCTTTGCATCAGCCTTTTAGTGCAGAGCATGGCGCCATCTCTGTCCTGGGGGAAATACTCCAGCCCCTGGCAGTGAGATGTGGTTAGCCACCAGAGTCTCCCCTCGGTTGTTTCCTACACCAGGGTATGTCTACGCTACCCCGCTAGTTCGAACTAGCGGGGGTAATGTAGTCATCCGCAGTTGCAAATGAAGCCCGGGATTTGAATTTCCCGGGCTTCATTTGCATGAAG